TCACTAATTGGGTTGGATTCCTTGAAATTGTCTCAGCATCTTATATCATCTCCTTGAGGGTTCCAGGGCCCTATATCTGTCACCTGTGGCTTTCTGTTATCTGGGGGGGGGGATTCCTCATCGTCTTATATGCATTGTTATTTTCACCCGATAGTCGTCAGGTATGGTGGTGTTTTGGGGTTATTTTCACCTCTTTATTTACAGTGGTGGAAAGTTACCCGAAGAATTTTTTTTTTTTTTAGAGGGATGTCTCCATATTGCGGACTGTATGGAAGAGTCAGTTAGAAGTCCGTTAGTTGTGGAAAAGGGAGTCCGTTAGATGTGGAACCTCTTTCTATGGGACTGTATGGAAAAGGGTCCGGCAGAAGTGCGTTAGATATAAAACCTCCATCTAACGGACTGTTTGGAGAGAGGAGTCCGTTAGATCAAGGTCCGTTAGATATAAAACCTCCATCTAACGGACTGTATGGAGAGAGGAGTCCGTTAGATCAAGGTCCGTTAGATATAAAACCTCCATCTAACGGACTGTATGGAAAGAGGAGTCCGTTAGATCAAGGTCCGTTAGATATAAAACCTCCATCTAACGGACTTGGAGAGAGGAGTCCGTTAGATCAAGGTCCGTTAGATATAAAACCTCCATCTAACGGACTGTATGGAGAGAGGAGTCCGTTAGATCAAGGTCCGTTAGATATAAAACCTCCATCTAACGGACTGTATGGAAAGAGGAGTCCGTTAGATCAAGGTCCGTTAGATATAAAACCTCCATCTAACGGACTATATGTTAAAGGAGGGGGTGGGTAGAGGGGGGTTGGAACCGTTGTATCTAGTACCAAAAGAATCCAATCCCTTGTCCTCGCCCCGTCACCACAATCAGTTTACAGTCCCTTTATTTAACGTCAGTAAGAACGTCGGTAATGATGATAAATAGATTGTTTGTATGTTGTTAAATAAGTGTTGTGTTGTGGTGACTAACGGCTCTGTGATAGGTTGTGGTATAATGTGTATAATTTCACCTGAGTTATGCCTGTAAGGAGTATTAATGACTGCGGGGTGATTGATGTTAATATAATTGTCTCATTTCATCTGTTTTTATTCATTAACTTGTTACGTTATCAGGTGAGTTACCATAGGCGTTGTTGTGATTAGTTTACCTATATTGTATTCATTATTATTCATTTGGTTTTAACTATAACACACACAGAACACACACACACACACACACACAGAACACACACACACACACACACACACACACACACACACACACACACACACACACACACACACACATTAATGACATCTAGATGTGGTGAAGGAGAGGAGATGAATATTTTACCCCTAAGAATAGGTGGTGGTGGTGGTGTGGTGGCTGATAATCTCTCTCATACTATCACCCACTCTTATTATAATCAAAAGGCGGTATCAAAGTCAATATTTTAGCTGAAGTGTGCTGATCCTCCTCCCCTAGCTCACCCCTATTCTATAGCTAAGAGTGTGTTTGGGTCTAGTGGCAGTGTACTTCTAAAGGGGCTATTGTTTATTTGTATAAGGCTTTTTTCAAGGACGCTAATTCATCTACCTATCTCTCTCTGATATTACACTTCTCTTTTCTCCTTCCCACTAATCTCTCCTTTCTCTTTCTTCCCATTTCTCCCTTCCATCTCCTTTCTTCCTATTTCTTCCTCCCTCTCCTCCACACCAAAAGCCAACAGGAAGAGAATCACACACACACACACACACACACACACACACACACACACACACACAGTTATAATGGCCTAGTTTTGCGGCTGTCAATTAAGGACGTAACCTACCATTATAAGGGAATTTTTACACCAATCACCGTTGAGAGTTTTATAGTCCTCACTTCTTATTGGTTGTAATGGTAAGTGTTATTGGTTTCCGTAAGTGCCAGTCACCCTCGTTTATGTAGTGTTTGTTATGATTACGTAGTTAACGATATAGAAGTTGTATATTTTTATCGATTAAGGAACTCCAAAGAAAATGCAAAACTATACACAAAATTATTAAAACTACTTAAATTTTGATAAAAGTATAACAAAGTATTACAGGTTATATATTGTATCGATATTTTATGGAAATGAAAAGTAAACACGAAAATATATAAGAAAAATATTAAAACTCCTTACCTGTTGGTGATGGACAGGTGCTGAGGAGGTGGTCTTATATATTACATTATCATATAAATAACATTAACATAAGATGCTTACCAGAGTCACCGCCTGAGAGAGAGAGAGAGAGAGAGAGAGAGAGAGAGAGAGAGAGACTGACTCAACCACGAGGAGCCACCAACGTAAACACACACACACACACACACACACCTCATTCACACATCAGTAATGGTCTCAAATATATCGGTAATGACCTCAAATATACCGATAAATGACCTTAGGTATATCGGTAATTGACTGTCATAATTATCTCCACCGAACATCTCAAGAGGTGCACATAACCAAGTCTTACACACACACACACACACACACACACACACACACATAATTTAGCAAAGTTAATTGAGATTCCTTGCTAATTTTTTTTAACGTGACGACCATCCGACTTGAACATTAAATTACTCTCACATTACCAAGGAGCAACAAGCACCACCATTTAATACTTACAAGAAATATAATGTAACAATGTGGGCTGTGAGGATTTAATTTCAGGCCTGTTGATGTGGGAATAATTGTGGACAAACCTGTTTAAAGAGTGTGGGTGTGTGGAGGGTGTGGGTGGGTGTGGAGGGTGTGGGTGGATGTGTGTGTGTGTGTGTGTGTGTGTGTGTGTGTGTGTGTGTGTGTGTGGACGACCTGCACCAGATCAATAATACGCTGGCTCTTAAAACCCCCACAATGAGGGAGGTTTCGTTAGGGTTAGGTTAGGTTAGGTTCCCAGTGGGGGGTCAGGCACAACACACTCAGGTATTTACTCTGTGATCCACTGACTGATAAAGTTGGCTCGTGTCCGTCACGGCTGGCCGCCCCTCCTCCACCAGTGCTGGCCGCCCCTCCTCCACCACCATTGCTTGACGCGGGCGCCCAGTGTGACGGCCGGGTGAGGCGCCCATGACAGCTGCACAAACACGCCCACGTGACACAGCCCCCCTCCCCCCCGCCTGGTATTATACCTTAGATAAACACCACCAACACCTGAAAAGTGAGGGGGAGAGAGAGGAGGGGGTTAGGTAGGGGGGGAGGGGAGCTTAACACTATGGGTAAAGGAGGAGGCTTAACACACACACACACACACACTGTTCCCTCGTAGGTTAGCCGAGAGGGGCGGGGTACACCTTCAGGTCCCCGATGGGCACCAAGGCTGTCGGTCGTCGTCCACCCCACCCCCTCCCCCACCCTCACTTTAATTCTCCTCCCCACCCTCCTCCCCCCCCACCCTCCTCCTCCCCCCACCCCCTCCTCCCCCCTGCCTCACCCCACCCCCCTCCTCCTCTCACCACTTTTCTTACACTCGTTATCACAGTAATTTGTCGTGGTGAAAGAAACTCGTCCTGGGTATAATTTATAATGTGAATTCGTTACGTGTCGGTGTTCCTAAATAAACTGTTCCACCACTTGTTCACAGGAGCTTAAATCGTCGACAATATCTCCTCCACTCCTTAACACGCGATACCTGTTAGAGGAGTCACCCCCCCCCCCCCAGGGTGACGGTAATTAGTGCTACCTTAACCGCTACCACCGCTCCCTATTGTTCTGTGGTTGTGTGCTTGGTGGTGGTAGTGTGGTGGTGGTAGTGGTGGTAGTGGTGGTGTAGAAACAGCTGCGACTAGGATCAGGCTTGGTTAGGTTAGATTAGGTTCAGACTTATCATCGGTTAGGTCAGGTTATGTTCATGGTTAGGTTAGGTTAGGTTCAGACTTATCATCGGTTAGGTCAGGTTAGGTTAGGTTAGGTTAGGTTCAGGGTTAGGTTAGGTTCAGGGTTATGTTAGGTTAGGTTAGGTTCAGGGTTGTCATTAGGTAGGTAGGTGTTATAACTCTGGGGTCAGTATAGTTTCTTAAGGTTTATACCAGATGGCAAATTGCAATGTGTGTTTTTTTTTTCGTTTTAATTCACTCGCTCATCGATGACCGCCAGGCATAGTCATTACTGCCATGGTGGTCTTGTTACACACTGGGCGCTCACTGACACACTATAGCTCTCCTATGACAGTATATACTCTGACAGTACACACCATGACAGTACACGCTATGACAGTACACACTATGACAGTACACACCATGACAGTACACGCTATGACAGTACACACTATGACAGTACACACCATGACAGTACACGCTATGACAGTACACACTATGACAGTACACACTATGACAGTACACGCTATGACAGTAGACGCTATGACAGTACACACTATGACAGTACACTATGACAGTACGCTATGACAGTACACTATGACAGTACACGCTATGGCAGTACACTATGACAATTTATGACAGTACACACTATGACAGTACGCTATGACGAGTGCACACTATGACAGTACACTATGACAGTGCACGCTATGACAGTACACACTATGACAGTACACGCTATGGCAGTACACACTATGACAGTACACTATGACAGTACACGCTATGACAGTACACATATGACAGTACACACTATGACAGTACACACTGGCGAGTACACACCATGGCAGTACACACTATGACAGTACACACTATGGCAGTACACTATGACAGTACACTATGGTATACACACTATGGCAGTACACACTATGGCAGTACACACTTTGACGAGTACACGCTATGACAGTACGCTATGACAGTACACACTATGACAGTACACGCTATGACAGTACACACTATGACGGTACACGCTATGACAGTACACACCAAGCGAGGCCACGTGCCAAGCGAGGCCACGTGCACCAACTAGGCCATTAACCAGCAGAGGTCACGTGCACCAAGCAGGGCCACGTGCTGGCATAGGCCACGTGCGCAAGCTAAGGCCACGTGCGCAAGCATGGCCGTACAAAGCATAGGCCACGTACACAAGCAGAGGCCACGTGCCAAGCATAGGCCGTACACCAAGCAGAGGCCACGTGCAACAAGCAGGGCCACGTGCACCAAGCAGAGGCCACGTGCACCAAGCAGAGGCCACGTGCACCAAGCAGAGGCCACGTGCACCAAGCAGAGGCCACGTGCACCAAAG